CATAGATGCTTATGTTGTTGTAAAGGCATCAAGTATCAATATTCATATCATGAGTATGTGTATATGGACATCTGTTTGTACTTTAATTTTTATTGCCTGGCCTATAAATGTCATACAGCATATGAATTTATGGCCATACATTTTAATTGCTGGCTTATCGTTTCGGAAAACTAAACACATGTCTTTTAGATCCATAATCTTTTATGGCAAGAAAATTGGGCAATCGAATTTCATAGGCTGCTCTTGCATCCTATTCTACATCAGTCAAATAATTTACCGCAGACAGAAGTAGATCCGGACTATAAAGTGAACCAACCAAGCTCTCGCTGATTCCGGTGGGCCACTATTGATGAGTGTGGCTTAGCGTTGCCCTGTTGAAACTTAATTCCCTTCCTGCTTACTACAAATGGGCTATGACTGGGCGTTTTGACCGTAGGGGTGCGACTCATAATGGATGATTTATAACAAGTCCTCCACACGCTAAAAAAATATTCCTTGCCATTAATACATTTTCATTATAGAGCTTTGCAAAAAAGAAAAACACATAAAATTCAGAAAAATTCACTGCGCCAAATGGTCCATCCGCTTAGTCCAATGCGTCAATTGAATCGGGCTTGTCTGTATAGACGTAAGATTTAACATAGCTTCACAAAAAATAGTCTAAAAGCGTTAAATCGCAAGATCTAGGCGGCCAATTGACCAGTCCTGAACGTGAAATAAAATAATCACCGAACTCGCCTCTCAATAAGTCCATTGTTGCGCGGGCTGTGTGGCATCTGGCACCGTCTGGTTAAAACCACATACAATGCAAGTCAAGCTCTGCATTTTGGGCAAAAAAAAGTTTGACATCATCTTACGGTAGCGCTCATCTTCCACAGTTACGTTACGATTCTCATCATCTTTGAAAAATTACGGTCCAATGATGCCACCAGCTCATAAACTGCACCAAACAGTGACTTTTTCTGGATGCATTGGTAGCTCTTGCAATGCTTCTGGCTGATCTTCACTCCAAAATCGACAATTCTGCTTATTAACGCACCCATTAAGTCAAAAATTCGTTCTTCGTTCGTAAGACTATTCATGGTTAAATTATAGACCAAATCACCCATTATTATACGGTTTGCTGTAAGCGATCCCTTTTTTATTACCAACTACTATTTGCATCAGAAATGGCTCGAGTTTTTTCCGGTTCAGCAGCAATTTGCAGGTAGAAATCCATTGCACTCCTTTGTATAGTCACCTTTTTCAAGTGGTTCCAAACTGTTTTTTGTGCAATTTTTTGCTCTAAGATAGTAGAAATGGTGCTTGCATGATGGTCGGATTCATGATTTCCATTATTTTATGGACATTTTCGACAATTGGTCTCTCACCTTCAGGTCTCCGCTGCCTCACTTGCGTTTTTGTCTCTTTGTTGGTATTCATCTTTAACATGCACTCAAACATTACTGCGATCATCATTTCTTCCGTTATCTTTTTTTTAGTAAATAATATCATCTTTCTAATGCCATCTAGCCATAATATTTTACCTGACCTTATGCAATACATAAAATAGGTTTGTAAAGGCAAGATGGTGTTGTGAAAGGGATTCTGCGGCAAGTTAGTAAAGCCAGCGGATCTAGCCAGGCTTAGGAGGAGGATTCACTGAAAACCCTGATAACGGCATATTCTTTAAGATGTACAGACAGTATGTGTGTGCATCAGTAGATATCATATCAAAAAGTAATATACTTTGGGTGATCAATGGCCTCGAACGGATTTAGGTCCGACAAGCAATGGTTACAGACCAATAAGTCTAACCTAATTTCTCTTTACGACCGCGGTAATCGAACGGTTAGCATTGCGTACTGCCATTCGAAAAACTTGGGTTCAAATCCCCGAGCGACGAACATACGAAAGTTATAGAAAATTAATTTGAATAAAAATTAAGCTAAATTTTCTAATTGCCCCTCTGAGTGTATTTCGGACATGAAATAAAGCTTCTCATAAGAAAACCATCAGCCGTTCGGAGGCAGCTTAGTTTAAACTGTAGGTCCCTCCATTTGTTGGAAAAACATCAAGACGCAAAAACCACATATACATGGATGTATACATTAATTCGAGCGGTTTTTTTTCGAAGGTTAAGACTTTCTTGTGAAAAAATGATTTTAATCGTCTGGAAACGGTTGCTTGATCAACTCCTAATACTTTTGGAAGTTCTTCTTGCGTCTGGCATGCATCTGCGTCAATCAATGTATCAACAAATTAAATAAAGTCGTTGCTATTCCCTAAAATCACTTTTATCATTTATTCGAGTTTTCTTATGGTACATCTTTTCTCAGTTCAGTGCGAGCAATGCACAGCACACTTCCCGCTAAAAGGCGACCTCACTTATGAAACACAACTTTGATCAATTTATTCTTTATTCATTTATTATTTTGTATTTTTGACTGTAGGACTGTTAGGGCTGTACAGCCTTCTGGTCTTTACGAAACCGCATAAAATGTGCTTTCCTTCCCAGCAATTGCTCATGATCTTGACTATCTTATTTGCCTATATCTGACCTTTATGCGCGATCCACATCTATTAGAAATTTTATAGCAAAAAAGTCTCATACGATTTTTGTACACCAAATATTGGTTTGGTCTCCAGACGGATGGCGCTTTTTTTACCCTCATTAATTATTTAACGAAAAAAATAATGAAACATAATTTCTTCCTGCAAAAATATCGGAATAGGATTAAACATTATTGAAGTTATTTTTACACAATTTTAGGACTTTTTCCTTTTCCATCAAATTGAGGCAGTTTTAGATTCATGACCATTTGCTGAGACCTTAGCGTGAGCAAAAAAATTTTACGTCAGGGGATTTGTACCCACTTTAAGGTAACTAAATTAATTTTTCATTAGCCTCAAGAACCTTAGCCAAATTGCTGTGATGTGGTCGAAAGCACTTTCCAACGAAAATTTATTATTACACGCAGTGACCTTTTTTCATGCACACAGATATAGAAAAAAATTGAAAACAGAATATAATAAATATAAAGGGCACATTTACGTGATTTATGCCAACACCTGGTGGCGACTTCATTGCTGTTAACGGAGCCAAAAATGTTATGCAAGTACATATATTGATTTCAGCATACATATATATACTCGTACATAAGTAAAAAGTAAGAGTAACTTAGAAAACAAAACTTAGTTATAGCAAGAGAAATAAATATATTATTTTGTATATAATTTTGTCATACATTTTTCCACCTTAATGCTTTTTTAGTTGTGTTTCTTTCTTTTTTTTTTTTTGTTTCTCAATTATTTTTAATCCACTCAACGTTCAAAGTAATAACAAATAAATAATAAATACCAATTTCATTGCAGCTGCGTGGCCGACAACTCACTTGGACGTTCGCGCAAATATATGGAGCTGTCTGGGCGCCCAGGCCCAGCTGAGTTTTACTCACCGAAATGGGGTCGCTCATCGGACAGCTACAATCTGACATGGAAAATCGATAGTTATCCGCCGTTGCAGGAGGTGCGTCTACTCTACAGGCGTGTGTTGGTAAGTTATTTGAATGAAATATAAATAAGACAAAAGAATTGTGCTAAATAAACCAATTTTGCTAAAGCAAAACTGTGAAAAATAAGCAAAAAAAAATTAGGAGCAAAAACTGAAACATAAATGAAATAGATTAAAATAAAAAAATAAATATTTAAATCCAAGCTCTATTAAAGTAAACAATTGAGAAGTGCACAGTATCAAATTTTTGCAACAACAACAACAACAATAAAATTGTTGCCGTTAAAACGAAATTGTAGCAATATTTTGCGCTCACAAAATATTTTTATTTTTATTTGATACAAAACAAATATTGTAGCATAAAGAAGAGCTCAAAGTAAAAACAATTGCATACACAATTGTACACACACATACACACCCACATTTATAAATATTTCAAATGGGTAACCGGAAAAACTGGCTAACAGTGCAGCTGCAATTCACCAAAAAACCAAAGGCATTGACAGCGGCGCCGTTGACCCATTTTATTTTCTCTATATCCTCATTGGTTAAACTAATAAAACAAAATAAATAGTAAACTTCGTAAAAAAGCAAATATTGGCAAATCGAAAAATGGCAAACGAGATACAACGTTTTTAGATTTGCGAATTGCCAAACACACAGTTCTTTTTTATTAATTTCATTTTATTTTATTTTTTACTACTTTCCATTTTTCACTTTTAAATACTTCCTTTTTTTATAAGCAAAACATTGTGCTCAACCACAGCACCGTTATATTTCGTTTATAGCGCGCTTTTTTATTTGATATTTTATGGCACAGCTTAGTTTTACCTCAATCCATAAAGCTCAGCGCTTAAACACAAAGCCGCAGGAGTCTGGATTGCAAGCAGATTTTGAATATTTATTTATACTGTAGTTTAACGAGAGTAATTAAATGTCTTACTATTTATTTAATAAATTGAAAATTCTGTGAAAATGAGCAAAAATCCATAAAAAATATTGTTTGCTTTGTATGTTATGACTGAACTGAAATGAATGAAATGGATTAAATAATATTTTTACAATTAACTAAATTATTTTTGAAATTTTACAAAAAGTGTATTTCAAATGCTTTTTAAATTCTCTAATTTCTAACTAACAAACGGATTTTGGTATAAGACTGATACCAATTATATTTGGAACTCTTCGAAGGGCTGGAGTATCTGCAAAGTATTGTACTTCTGTGTTGTTAAATTACTCATTTGGCTACTAATCCAAAATAGTCGTTTTTCAGTCGCTTTAGAAAGATATGATAGGAAATCTAAATTTAAAAACTTCAAACACTGTTTTTTATATTGAAATGAAGTTGTGACGCCAACCTATCAATTACAGTTTTTAAACCTAATATCACTCGTCTCATCAATTATTTAAGGCATTATCGATTTTGTGGACTGTATTTTGATATATCTATGTCAAACCTAACTGTCAAACCAAGCATGTATTAATAATAATAAGCCCAACTAATACCCTCTACCTGTCCAACCGACACGAGAGCCGATATCCGCATAACGTGCGGTTACAGATATCGCAAGGACTGTGCTTACTGCTTAGCTCGTTTCACCTTAAAAATCCCTACTGTAATTGAGAGTGAAGACAAAGACCCGAATGTGTCTATTTCTCGAAGTTCTCAATAGTAGGGACTTTCTTGCGGCATGTTATGGCGCTTTTTGTACTCGGACTTTCACCTATATCTATAAAAACTCCAGCTCACACCACAAAAGAATCCAGCTGACCATTCACAACATGATGAAGATCCAGTAGTGGACAGCGTTTTCCGAATGACCGCCGAGATCGTGCGATTTGACATCGTTGCAAGTTTTTTTCTGAAGCTACGCGAAAAACCATGTTCATGCAGTAACTCCTTTAACCTTCGGGCACTTAAAAACCGACATTCGTCAAGTTATCTAAAATACCGCCCAATAAGAACCAAAAATTGGATGAAAATTACATCGAAAATCAAACATTATAATAAATACGGAATTTTATGGAAAAAAATTTATTTACGTTTATTATAAAAACCGAAAAAACCCAAAAGCATTTTTTATTTATATCTTGATGAGAACAAGGCAAATTGTTTTGGTTAGCTACTTATATTGTAGGCGTCTCAAGGTCTAAGGTCACGCTTTTAATATAAATATGCAAAAGGAAACCAAAGAGAAAGAGGCTGAAATGTGAGAGTAAAAAAAGCGTCAGATGTTGGCCAGTAGGTGAAGTGATCAAAAATTCTTTGAAAAAATTAGACGACTCACAGAAGATTTCAAGATCGGAGCATAATTAGACAGGAACCAATGTTGTGGTCTGGTAACTGACCTCAAGAGCAAACTTACTTTCTGGAAATAACATATCTCCAGTATGCTGAGTGGCAGTTAAAATGTTAAAACAGCCAGAGGTGGTGTACCAGAATTCTCGACCATTGATGATGAAAACTACTTATTGTTATTCGGCTATAAAAACTTCGAATCGCCGTTTGTTGACCGCAGAGCTTATCAAACATAACAGCGACGAGCTTACAAAGTGCATGCATCAGTTTCTTTGTGTGTGCTCTGCCCACTCCATAAAATGAGGGGTATGTACCAATTACCTCCTAAATACCACATTCAAGGTCCTATCGATCATTTTGTGTGAAGGACAATAATCGTCACATTTCACTTTTTCATCGATTTTAAAGCTGCCTTCAATTGCATGAAAAGGAGCTGCCTCTATGCCGCTGTATCTGAATTTGGTATCCCTGCAAAGCTTATGCATACGGCTTTGTCAACTCATGCTGGATAACACTAGCAGCGGTGTCCGAATTGGAAAGAATCTCTCCGAGCCGTTCGGTATCAAACGAAGTTTCAATTAAAGTGTCTTAAATTTTATGCTGGAGAAGACAAAAAGAGATGCAGAGCTCAATAGACAAAACACAACGTTCTATAAGGGTGCACAACCAACAACCGCGGCATGAGTTCTGCTCTCTCCAGAATGGATAAGTAATGGAAGCGAATGGGTTTGGTAGAGATCAAACAAGCAGTCATTTGCAATCCGGCCCCCTCGTCACTGGTGACAGTTATAACTTTTAGATCATAGATAATTTCGTCTATCTAGGGATGAGTATTAAAGCCAATAATAATGTCAGTCTGGAAATCTAACGCAGAACCACTTTCGCCAACAGGTGCAGCTTTGGTCTGAATAGGAAATTGAAAAGTAAAGACCACTCCTAAAGAACAAAAATTAAGCTATAAAAGTCGCTAATCATACCCATCCTGATTAATGGTGAGACTTTCGATTAGTCGTCGGATGTATGTTATTCTACGAGTTGTTTACCGCGAATAGTGCAAATGCTGGAGCGATGATCTGTATGAGATATATAACAAGGTTGCATAGTTCAGCGGATGTACGAAAGATTTTTAGCATTGAAAGTACTCGATGCACTACCCGCTGGTGGGAGCAAAGAAAGAGAAGGAATACCTCCACTCTGTTTGAGGGATCAGGAAGAGCGCGTACTTACTACACTTAGTATTTCCAGCAGGTGCCAAACAGCAAGAGGGGGGAAGGAATGGCACGATATTATTTAGTCGCCTTAGTGTTGTCTTCAGCAATAAATAAGAGATAGTAACAATTGCTCCCTCCAAAATATAGTCCTTGACGCTTTCAATACACGCTTTCAATACATAGTTGAAATGTTACATCGTGTTAGTTTCAAGTTGTAGCAAAATTACATTTAATACTTTTCTAATTATCTGTTCATCATCAACGCTCAATATCTCAATCATGCTGGAACCAACAAGCTTGCTGCAAAGAAATTTTTCTTCTAACTACTAGAGAGCACTCAAACTGATTCAATGAAATACCACAGCAATTAATAATAATTTATGATGTTTGCGTTTAATGTCAAGTTACCGATTATGCATGAAAAATGAATACTTTGAGTGGATGCTGGAGAGCCTGAGTTGCCGTGAATGTAATTAAGTTTATTTATTCACAATTAACAGATTTTTAAATTAAAGAAAATTTACTGAAGAACGATAAAAGCTTAATGAGCAGAATGAATTGAATGTGGATTTCGTAATTACGTAAGGGTAAAGAGTAGCTATCAAAGAAGACAGCGGTATGGGGGGAGAATTAAGTACATGTCTTTGTATGTATGTAAGTCAATTTTCGATTAATTATGGACTTGGTCTTTACAAATAAGTGCTTACAACCACTCCAACAACAGAATGGTCGCCCGCCAGTTAAGCTGGTATGCTAGTCAGTTGACTATTTCTTATCATAAAAATAAGCGATATTTTTAACAGGAAGTTTTAGGTCAAAAATATAATAATAAAAAAAAAATGACGAGTAGAATTTTGTTTCAAAAATTTTTAAAAATGATTAAGTAATACAGTTAATGGAAATTGCAATAAAATTGTTGTAATATTATTTTTAATGTAATGTTTTTTGGACTAGCGCACTTCCCGTCAGGAAATCATAGTAGTTAATACTTGCTCTCATCAATTTGATATTTCAGTGCTGAACATTCGTAAATTTTTGATTATCCATGCGCTTGTACGCGTGGATGTAATTCATGTAATTATAACTCATTTATGAAGGCTTTTAAAAATATACAGACATATACATATGTTGGTATGTGTAAATGGGTGAAAAGAAAATCTCATTAATTTTTTGTTTTTTTTTTTTCTTTGCTTTTTTTAACGAATTTTGCTATGAATTTTCACCAAGATAAAAAGTACTCCACACAAATATCTATGATATTATTATTTTTTATTTTTGTTCGTTTTAATTTTTTGTAATTAAATGCATATTTACCGAACATACGATGTTTCGAGTGAGTTTGTGAATTACAGGTGTAGCAATTCAGACATACCCACGTCAGATGCATACTTTTTAGTGCGTTGCGTGAAAAAGCATTTCCAATGTATTCGCCACAGCGCTGTTAATACAACACAGACAACATAAGTACAAAAACTGTATGTGCGTACTACTTAACTCTATAGGCGATATTTTAACACAATTTTAATCACATCCTTCATTAATGCTCCGCAATTACTCAGCATATCGGTGACAGATACCTGGGGCATTTTTGTGTCAGCGAATAAAATCAAAAGAGAACAAAGCAAAAAGTCCTGCAGCTGAAATTATAATTAATATTTTCATGACAATAGAATCATAATGAATATTAAATTAATTGTTTTTCTTTTTTTTAATTTACAGTAGGTGCAACTGAAATTAATTTTATTCACTTTAGTTTTGAATCCTGCGACCGAGTCCAACTACGCTCAATATTGGTTTTTCGGAGATACTCAAATAGCTATTGAGGTCATAAGATCGCTGTTTTCCTTACTGTATTTTTTTTTTTGTTGAATTGAATAATTTTCTGATAGTATGAAAATACAAAATAGCTTAGCAATATTTTTGCTTTAATATTTAAAATTTTTCGTTCTGCTTTTAAGAAAAATTATATTTCCCCTTTGAATTTTCCATTCCCACAAACAGCCAATAAAGTAATGAAAATACGCTTTCCTTATAAATATTGTAAATTATTAAATAACATAAACTAAATTTCTGAAGCTGATATATTTTTATTAGAAAATAAAGTAACCATCAAGCCTATGAAAATATATCGGTAGAAAATGATTAGCAGATAACTTGAAATCGTCGGCTTAATTTTCGTAAACCTTTCATGTATATAAAGAGGTGCACTAACTTTGGTGGATGTGAGTGCCAGAAAGAGCAGAGATAGACCTATCAAATTAGCCCTTTAGTTTTCGAGATATTTCAACCTTTAGTCAGAACCAGCAAAATTAGACCACCGTAGCACATAAACTAAAGATAATTCAGATTTGAAGTTTGTGGGTCACAGATCCTTCAAAACTAATATTTAAGAGCTTGAAATAAATGTAATGAATTACACATTGTGAAAGAAAATCATTGCACGCGGTTAACTATGTAACCTAGATCCCATGCAACCGCTTAGTTCAGATGTAAGGTAATGAGCAAAAAATCCATCTGACAGTAATATAAAAAATAAATATTGCAAATGAAAATCAACGCAATCAGCGGACTAAATCATGTAGCGCCCATATGAGATTTTGGGTAATAACCCCGTCAAGAAAGCACATAAGGGTATGAAGCTTGGTTCTGCAAACGTATATACAAAAATTGAAACCATACCAACTTTTTCATATATCCGGTTCCAATAAATTTTTCAGATACGAAGAATTAATATTCACTCCTAAAATTAAATTTAACAAATTTTTAATGGTCATCAAAGGTATTTAGACTTCGGCGTGACTGACGACAGCTCTTCTTTCTTGCTTTAATAATGAAAACAGTATCAGCTGCCAAATGTCTAGGCATAAATCAATGTGTGTTAACAGTAAATTCAACAAAGAAATTAAAAGTCTAATTGCTAAAGGAATTATCGTTTGGTTAGTCTTAATAAAAAATTCTCAAATTTTTTCGAATTGAAATAATACTAAAATAAAAGTTGCCAAAAAGTTTGTGAGATATTTTATATATGACCTTGTAAAAGGTAATCATAGACAGAAACAGATAAAAATCACTTCGAGCAAGATCCAAACTGTAATGTGAATGTATAAGAATTTGTAAATAATTTCTCGGAGCTTCTTGGAAGTCACTATCGATGTGTGTGGTCTGTTGTTGGTGTTTGGAGGCTTTTGGGCGATTTCATCCTTCAAATATATAAATATGTAATAGAGGGTCTGGATGTACGGTAGTTGCTCACAGTGGATGATTGCTTATTAATCCCACCAAACACACAACAAAACCTTTCACCGTTTCAGAAATGGTTTGATTTTGTTATGATTCAGCAACGAATTGCAGATGGTAATTTGTTTATAAAGATTTTTTTCGCTAACTCATTTGGCACCCATGCATAGAGCATCTATGTGTATCAAACCTTTTTCAAATGGTTTCAACTTGTTTTTTTGATCAACGTTTAGCACCATTATCTTTTTGAGTGCAAAATGTCACTTTCCTCACGTCATTTGGCGTAATATAATTGCATTTATGGAACGCTAGATGTAAATTACTAAAGTAAAAAAATATTGATTACTTTTTACTAGACCACTGTAGCGCTCTTTTCACCACAAATGGAGAAATCTACAGTCAAACCTCTGCTGCCTCCAAACGGCTGATGAGTTCACAAGAAGATCTATTATTTCTGAGATTTACTCGGTGGAGTTGTCATTACTTGGCCAAGAATCAAACTAATTGACCTCCGCAGCCAGCAGATTTCATCTGCTTCATGCGACAAAACAGCATTTTATAATCATCTTTCTATTCGCTGTTTGAAACTGACAAGACCGTACTATGGCCCTGTTTTGAAAGGACTGTCTATTTAGCTAGTTTATCGGTCTTATCGTCTTCGATGCTCATATGTGGATACCTAATAAATTTGAGCTGTTCTTTTCTCCGCCAACCTTTTGAAATGTAAGTTTTCACTTTGTGTATCCTACTTGCGTTGTCCCATTTTTATAGCACACGATTCGACTGTTATTTTGGAGCCATCTGTAAAAAAAATGCAAAATTTGAAAACTTGTCCCTTACACTATCTGTCTGCTCTTATCATTGCTGTCAAGGTCTTGACAAAAGTCCAAGGGGTAGGCTATTCGTAGGAAAACGCCATGCAACATAAATTGCAAGTGTAAGCCGACATTATTTGCCAAGTGAAATTAAATTTTTGAATATGTTGTATGAGCTCTTTATATGCTAATCATTAGAACGATAATTCCTTTTATTTGCTTATATATATATCTCCATGAATTTGTTGAGCCAAGTGTAATATTTATGGTTATTCTTGTCTTCAGAATTGCACATAAAAATACATCTTAATGAACGTAAATAAAATTTTAACCACTCATAGACTCTCTTCAGGAACACAAATATATAAAATATTTATTTTTCTCTCTCACTCACTATCTTACAGATGAATGATACGTTCCAACAGCCAGGCAGATGGCATGACTTTATACTGACACCAGAACACCGTCCCGCATCAGAGCCACTCACACACATCATGTCCTACACCATTAAGAATCTGCATCCTGGCGCATACTATGAAGCGATAGTACAGGCGAAAAATAGTTACGGCTGGAATGAGGTGAGTAATTTAAGTGTGTGTGAGCTGCAGCACATGCTCTTGCACTGCATCAGCTTAAAAAGCCAAACACACCCACGCACACTTCGTACGCTGGCTGACCACACAGCTGCTAACGCGACATAAATTTTATTTACGCACATCGTAAACTTCACTCAAACAGTTTATCTCAATCTTTCGCCTGTGTGCTCACACACGCACCTCGTCCTTGGGCCACAGCAAACACTACAAATCTCAGATAGCGTATTCCTCTTGTGCGCCTCCTGTGTAGTTCGCATGTGGTGCGTATTCTGGTGCATGGTTGGTTGTGCAATCTCAGTTCACTTGCTTTCCTTACAATAGCAATTAATTATTTCATTCTTACTCACTCTCACGTTCATTTGCTGTTTCTTTTTTTTTCGTTTCAAATCTGATTGCAGGTCAGCGATATCTTTCAATTTATCGTCGCCAGCAATACCATGGACATACCGCCGGAGGACGCCGAAGTGGTGGCCAGTTCCAAATCGCGTAGCAATTCTGCCGCCACAGGCAGCACGCAATTGCCACCGCATGCGCATAGCCGAACCCTTGTATGGTGTGCATTCATCGCCATCGGCGCGAGTTGCTTGCTCCAGCGTAGCCATCAACGGCAAGTCTCTCTCAATGTGGGATAAATGTGAAGTAGACGCAAACGTCGGTCGACTGGCGGTGTGGGCGACTGCGACTGCGACTTGGAAGGCGGCAGCAAATTAATTTAACGTAAGAAATGTAACTCGATGTTTTTGGTGATTATTTATTTTCAATTTAAGTGATAAGAAAAGGGTAAATTGAAAAGAGAGAATACAAGAAGAAATAATGAAATCAATAAAAATGAGAATAAAAATAAAAAATATAAATTAAGAATGTGAAGCATTTTAAAGGTTGAGTGCATAAATAAATAAATTTCAAGTTCCATTTCAGTAATTACGTTACATTAATGTGAATCTTATTTGAGTTATATTTGCTTTTGTATTTAACCATTTGTAATTTATAAATGGAGAGGAAAATAGAAATCAACGTTCGAAGAAATTACGGCAAAATGGACCATTTGCAGCAAATTGTCGATTTTCTTAATATGGCAGAAGCCAAAGGTATTTAAAACAAATTTTCATGGTTTTATATTAAATGTGCATAATAATACTGGAGTTAATCCGCGGCTGGTTCTCATAAGATTTATCAGGTTTTTTATATTATTAGTTTTATTATACTTTCTAAATTATTATAAATATATTATACACGTTTCACATATTAAGCAACGCCAAACTAACAAATCGATCCCAAGCATACTTCCCGCAAGAAAAAGTGCTACCAATGGTATTTTGTGACCAAAACTACAGCTTTAACCATTTTTATGTAAATTAAACGGTACAGACAAGTTTTTCTCCGAAGAAAAAGGGTTCCCTATCAATCATGCATAGAGTTACCGGTGTCCAAATTTCATGTAAATCAAACAGTTTCAAAAATTGATTTGATTCTCAGCTCCACTTCCCGGACGGGTGTATACGTCATACGCAGAACACACTCTCTAAGTTTCAGATCTCTAGATTTAAGCTGTGGTCTGATCTACTCTACTTATATAGATTCAAAAGTTGTATTGAGTATCGAGATTCAATATTATTATTCATTTTTATTTTACGACAACGAACTCAGCGTTTCTTATTGCCCGCCCTACCGATCGAGGGGCGCACCTGAAGGGTTATCGAAAAATCCAACAGGCCGGTGACCGAAAACCAGTGACCATCCGGACTGTTCTGAACTCGCGACCGATCGCGAAGGCTAAAACTTTTACTCTAATCAGCTACAGATTTGCTCATCAGCTACTATAAATTATATGGAAGTTGTCATTATATAGCTTTCGTTACATAAAAGATGGTCAAAAGAATCAATGTCGGCGTCATGAGCATTAAAATCGTTGGAAAAATATTTAAAAGGGTCGTGAATTTCAAAATTTGGTTAGCATGAACACAATGAAAGGGGTCTAAGTTGTTTAGATGATCTTAAAGGCATGCTAAAGCTAAACTGAGTGGGATTGGACTATTGATAACACATCTTATCAATTTAGTTAAACATAGAACTCCAAGCATCTTTCTACGAATATAGCGTGTAGGCAAATTAATGAGCCGTAAACGGCTTTTGCAAAATCTCAGTTTAAGTTTCTTAAACCGAAAAGTAGGATTTTTTTAATTTATTACTATTCGAATGATAGAGCGGACTCCATACAACTTAACAATATTAACAAAGTGAGCCTAGCAAGCGAAATAAAAAGTAATTTGGTAACGTACACTTACAACAAAGTATTCGAAATATACTTTTCCTTTCTCTTCTACTAAGTATTGTTTTTGTTTTATTTAAAAACATTTAATAATGATTACATTATCTCTCATAATTTCATTATTTAATGCTAAAATAACGCCTTTAATCTGCGTTGAATTAAATAAACTTCACATTGTAAATAATAAATATTGAATAAAGTGAAGGAAAAATAGTTAGTAGAAACTTGTAAATAAATTAAATTTTAATGAAAATATATTGCATAATGTCTAGAATACTAAGTTATGGAGATTAAATTTTCACAAACAGAAATAAACGCACGCGACTTTTTACAGTTATGAGAACACCACCCAAATTAGAAAAATGGATAACAAATAAGCAAATAAAAAATAAATAATATAAAAGAGTAAATAATAAAAAAAGAGAAAACCACCAAGTAAAAGTTTATTGATTGAAACTGCAAAAAAAAAAAAAAAATTGAGGAAAAAAGTAACTTTTTTCCGCTTGTAAACATAAATTTAATGAACTTTGAAATAGTTTTATTAAAACAAAAACAAAAAACACACTATCAGAACTTTATTTAGCGAAATTCACTGTAAATAATGTTTTAAGCCACCAAAAAAGAAAAAAAAACAAAAATAAAAAACAAAAGAGCAACATGCAATAGTAAATAATATTTAAAAAAAAATAGTTTCCATATATTTACAAACATACATACTTTAGGCTATGGCTAATTTTACGTCATTCAAACTCGTAATTATTAATGTATTATTGTAAATTGCGGCTAAATATTAAGTAATTACCACACATTTTGAAAAAAAAAAAATAAAATTATAAATTATGATAAAATTGTAATAGCTAAAACGGCGAAAACAACAGCAACAAAATAGTTTTTAAAAATCAACAAACAAAGGAATATAGAATATTTAATGTGAATTTCAATGAGAATATTTAGTGAAAAAATGCATAACCGTTAAATAGAAAGTTTGCATATGTGGTGTGTGTTTTTGCTTAGGTAAAAAAAAAACTAATTTAACCAATGAGTTAAAAAAAGAACATCCCAATTCGATAAAACAAAAATAACTGCACCGGAAAAAACTTTGAATATCTCATTAAAACATAATGTGAATAAATATAAATTATAAAAATTAAAAATGCTATAAATACATATATATATTAGCATAGAGATTATCGAAATAGACAAAGCAAAGAAACCAAAGATGCAGAAAACAAATAAACGTAGTGAAATTTGTAATATAAAGTAATCACATATGGAAGCACACAAAAAACAAAAAAAAAAAAACATAATAAAAAAAAAACAATTACAATAGATAAATAAAATAACAAAGTATTAATTGTTTACACTTCATTTACATTTAAAAGTAAAAATAATAATTATAATAATTAAAGTAAAATACGAGCTGTTTTTAAAAAAAAGGTGAGTTTGCAATTTTTAATTTTCGATTGTGGAATATTTTTTCTCTGTTGGAGCACATATGTTTGTTTATCATATGTTGGCATTATCAGCTGGCTTGGATTAGTATTTTGTTGTGGACAACTTAAATTTTGCAGTAAAGTGCTTGAAAGCACCAGAAATGTTGACTGCGGTATTCAGCAATTGCTCCTTATAACAACAAAGTATTTATAGGTGATGCAAGCGCTTTCAAGAAGACCGAGAAAATGACGATGAACGTCAACAAGCGACAAAAACATCAAAGTGATTAAAAAAAAATGTTTTAGAAAATCATTGGGGACTATAAGGGAAGTAGCGGAGGTTGGTGGTATGTAAATCGCCTCATGCCATGCAACTGTGTCGAATATTTATTCCGAAATCGCTAATTTCGAACTGAAAGCAGCGTCAAATTAGAAACGCTCAGAGGTTATTGAATGACGTTGACGGCGCTCAAGTCCCAATCATACCAATGGAGGCGGCCCCATGGGCGAAAAACCGAAAGTTCAAAAATCGAATGGCACACAAAAACGTGACTAACTTCAATGTGACTACAAATGATAAACATTAAAAAAATTCCATAATCGTTTGAACACAGCCCGAGAAAATTCTAAATTCACCTTTTATTTTGAACAGACCTCGTACGGGCAAAAAAATTTAATTTTTTTTTTTAATTCCCACTAAAATTTTTTGTTGTTTAAATTAAAATGTATATAAAATAACTGGCTTTTAATTAATTAAACTTTTGTTTTTTAATTAGAAAATGCATTGTTTTTGACAAAAGGTTAATATTTTTGTAGATTTAAAATTTTTACCACCTACCTTAATTTGTTTTAAAACAAATCGTTAACGACACAAAAAGATAAATCGTAAAAATATTTATATTTCGTTACAGCATAATTTTACCGTAAATAAATAACAACGTAAAAATATTTGTGCTTCACTCACAACCAAAGTCTCTTAAGTAAATATGCCCCACCCAAAATGCCGGGTAACTACACACACTCACCACATACAAACACGCATGAAAATGTAATTACATTTACAAATATAAAACTACGTACATATACATATATATGACGTATATGCACCGCATAACATATATTTTATAAGTGAATGGAAATTATTAAATTATTCACATTTATTCCAAAAAGAGGAGAAAGCGCGAATATACATTATTCGCTCTAACCTGCATCTAGCCATGTATGTATGTGTGTATATAAAGAGCATCAAGCGAATTTGATGTACTAGCGCTCTTGTATTATGCTTAATACAGCTAAAATACAATGATTGATTAAATGTAATAAAAATAAAAGTAATTAAGAAGTGAACCGAACAAAAAAAAAAAATTAAAAAGAAAAAGTAAATAATTAAAAGAAAATTTTGAAATGGGAAAAATAAATTATTTAAATATTCATAATATTGTGTTATTATTATAATTATAAATATTAATGCATAAATATGTATGTGTATATGTAAGCATCATTATGGATATAAATATATGCATACACAAGTAAATGATGAATGATAAATAAATAAAAATGAACACATTAGATGTAAAAAACAAATCTAGCTAGTACTGGTTTTATTCTATATTTACAAAGAACTTATGATAATTGTTAATCACTTTAGTTGTTTAGGAAGCTTGGTCGTATCAAAGACAGCTTTCGCTCGAATTTCTTCTTTGTCTTGAGTTGTCTCGTCATCGAATTTGGCGCAGGCCTCACTCGGCTAATATCTTACAACGGAAAAGGAACCTGTCTTTGTTTCCAACAGTTAGTTTTAAATTTATTTAATATTGTTATTTAACTTAATTTATTTTTTCTTATTTGTTTTATCTCATTTTCCTAATTTATTTTGTTTAATTTTTTTTATATTAATTTATTTTATTTTATTTTATGTTATTTTATTTAGTTTTTTTATTTATTTTTTATTATAAATTTATTTTATTTTATTTTATTTTATTTTATTCTATTTTATTTCATTTTATTTTATTTTATTTTATTTTATTTTATTTTATTTTATTTTATTTTATTTTATTTTATTTTATTTTATTTTATTTTATTTTATTTTATTTTATTTTATTTTATTTTATTTTATTTTATTTTATTTTATTTTATTTTATTTTATTTTATTTTATTTTATTNTATTATTCAATTCATTATTAACCAACAACTATTAAGTGCGCTAATTTAGCCGCTATTTTCTTAACAGCTTGGTTAGTGTGTTGTGTTGGAATCCTCTATACTTTCAGGCGTTAATTGACTGATTATATAGGCAGGATTAGGTATCAGGTTCAACCTTTATATTTATAATTTGTTTTTGCGGCCATGCTATATATTAATTTTATAAAGTCACTTCTAACATTTTTCTTTGTTGTATAACAAATATTCAATTCTTACAAACAACAAGGCCTCATAGTTTACTTAATAAAATTAATATAAAGCATGGCCCAAAAACAAATTATAATTTATTTTATTTTATTTAAGTTCAATTTAATTTAATTTAATTTTATTATATTTTGTTATATTTTCTTTAACTGTAATTGTTTTCTATCATTTTATGTTATCGTAAGTTATCGTAATATTATTTTTTAACTAATTGATTATTTTATTTGACTTTAATTATAATACTAGTAATTTATATGATTTATTTTCTCTTAGATTTGAAATTTCTTGAATTTAATTTTCTCTTATTATCCAGTGTTTTAACTACTTTAATTTAACATAATTGAATTTCACTTCAGTTTGTATAGTTTTTTATTTATTTTGTGCTTTATTTATTCGTTTGATATATTTTTTCTTATCGTGGAAAAAGATTTGTTTTAAATTTTCATTTATTTATTTTTTTAGTATATGTATTACATAGTTTTTATATTGTTTTGTTTTATTAATTAATTAGTTAATTATTCTTATCTATGCTATTCTCTGCGTTTTGTTTTAGATCTAAATTATGATTGAGATTTTGAGATTATTTGGATTATTGGAGTTCTGTTACAATATTATTTCCTTTTGTTATACTTATGCCGAAAAAAAAAATTTCAGTTGTTGGGGTAATCAAAAAACCGCGATAACACTTGACCAACCACATACATATGTGGGTATATAAAATATTTGAAAGCACTGTACCGTTAACATAAAAACAAATTTAGTTTATGTTCATTACTTTGCAAACTCATTTAATTGCTTTTATTGAAACAAAGTTAGAAAATTTTCTCTCAACGCATCACTCTTCACCAAATTTCGCGGCAACGGCCCAAATCGTCGGGCAGGAAACCAGGACGGCATGGGAAATCAATCATTGCCACTTCCATAATACGAACACCACCAGCTTTCTTTTGGTCCGCCTCATACTGTTGCCGTACCTTAGTCTCATCCAAATCGACACACTGCCCCGCCGTGCCATGGATCTTTGGCGCATTTGGACATTCGATGAACTTCACGCAGTACCTAATGCACGGCCTTGGCGGCACCGTGGTGCCCTTCAACTTCGCTTGGCACTTGTAGCGCACCGTACAGCTGACGTCAACGTTTGGTATATTGTTGTTAATGTAAATGGGCAGAGGACGTTCACTCGTTGCAGCGGCAGCAGTTTCTGTAGTTGTTGTTGGTACTGGCGTTGTGCGTCCTGCGTTGATGCGCAGAGCGATAACGGGGCTTATTGTGGTGACCATGAAGCCTAGCAAAACGGCCATGACCACGCTCAATAGCGACAATTCACGCATTTCCGTGGTGTTTGAGGTAGAGTAGTTGTTGTATGTAAGCGTTTTTTAAGAAAAAAACGAAAAGTTTTGTATTCAAAAGGCGCACTGTTTTCTTCGATATTTCGTTTGCTACTAATTTTGTATTGATTGCTGTTATACTAAGTGCTGCTACAAAACAAAAGAGCTTTGTCCATATGCGGTTGCGATAACCCTTGACCGATAGTGCTGCGAGAAGATTAGACATGCCTGGCTGTTTGGTGCTAACGGAAGGTGGAATCGGTTTGTAAGAAGAAGAACAAGTGCGTCTATTGATATGAAAAAATATATAGATTAGTAATTAATAAAACGGAAAAAAATATTAAAAAATTTCGATCTTTAACAAATTAAAATTTATTGAATTCTTTACAAATTAATTGAATAATCAATAAATAGGCAACGCATTTTCCAACACGCTCAAATTGTTAGAGCAGCTGTGATTATCTGCTATCCTAAAATGCATGGATTTTTGTTGGGATTTTTTGAAAAACGTGTGAATAAACACCTTTGGTGTTTTGTGGTAAATAATGTGCGTCTAATTAACCGAATTTTATTTACTAAGCACATACATACAAGCATATAAATATATACATACATCAGAACAAATTATCATAATGTCCCCCTCCACTGTGCGACCGAAATTCGTGTACTGGGTTTTCCAATCAAAGGTGATATTTTCAATAATCAGCTGTTCCGGTATATGTAATTTTCTGACAATTTGACAAGTAGAAACTACGCCAGAAATAAAATTGGAATGGCAAATGTTTCAAGAACGCATTGAAATTATTAAAATTCACTTTCGAAATTTCTTTGAAAAATCACCTCAATTGATGAGAACAATTTCCACCTCAATGGATACACCAATAAGCAAACTCTCACATCTGAGGCTCGGAAACTGTTGAAAGACCTCTCCATTCTGAACGTGCAACTCTTACTTCTTTCAAAGCGAATGCATTGCATTATCGAGAGATGCTTATTGATTTCTTATACAATACCCAGAATTGGTTGGTATTGAACTGGACAATGTTTGATTTCTACAAGATGACGATGTGTGCCACACAAGCAACGCATCTACCGATCTTTGAAGAGAAAAGGTTCTTTAAATATCAAAGCAACACCTTTTATAGAAAACCGCTTTATTTATGTTGACCAATTAAGGGCATGTCCTTTGGTCTGTGCAAGCAACCGTTAATTAACATTAAAAGCAGGTAAACAGATTTAAGATACCTTAATGAAATATGCTTTGGAGTCACAGTTAGGGAATGTAGCTATCAGGTAAGATGGAGTAAAACGTTTATTAGCACAACAAGCCATTGTTGGTCATTAAAGCGAGCTGATTCGGCACGATAATTCAAGTGATACCCCCCGAATAGAGCATTAGTGAACAAAGGAAGCTATTAGATTACATTACTTTTTATATTTTTTTTTAAAGCGAATGGCTTTCTTTTACTGTTTAAATGTCATGTAGGATAGGAGGCAGAGAGGACTGCTACCAGACGACTTGGAAAAAAGTCTGACAGAGTAAATGTTGTTTGCAGCCTTGGAATGAGCTGTTGAACTATTACATCATTACATTCAAACCATTTGGTGTTTTCACTAAAAGTACATACATATATCCACAATGTTTTTATCGATAGCTGTTCCAGGTTTTGTACTTGAGAGATTTCAAGGGTTTTGTGACGAGTTAGTTGGAAGCCACTCACAACCAAAAAATTGTTATCGGGTTCTCTAATATTTTCCAATGTCAGATCCGTATTACGTATGCTCTCCAGAGCGCCAGTGACCCGTTATCGTGGCTGTTAGTCCACATATAACTTCCTCAGACCTGTTAGTATGTCCATTGCTTCTCTTCTATCACGATAAGGTCAAATCTGCTTCATTACATTAGAGTTCGATATAGACTTCTATCTGAAAAGTGCTATTTGATTACGTTACAAGCGAAGCATTCCTCTGATCGTTCCTAGCGGAGATGGCACTAACTCCGCTTCGAATTCATCAAGAGATTGGTCAACTTGCCAGTTTTTCCGTTATCGAAAACATTCTCGATTGCGGCGATAAATAGTTGGTCTTTCAGAAAGCGTAATTCTTCCTACCTTGTTGAAGACGCTGGAATTTATCATTGGTGACGATGATTTCTTTATGGCCCCATTGCTAATTATAAGAGCGGTGGCCATTCTCCTTTCACGTCTCAAGCCTATACTAACCTGGAATCAAAAATTAGCATCAACTTTGGGAAGTGATTAAAAATAAATAAAATAATAATAATACAAATTAGATAGGAAATCGGGCAATAAATGCGTCCATATAAAGCGTGATTTTTTAAGAGCTACAGGAAAGTCTTTAAAAAAAACACATAAAATTCAGAAAAATGCATGTTGTCTTTATTTGAATCGATAGTGCGCCTCCAATTATTCAATTTTGGTATACTCTTTCCAATATTTCTGCCGGTATCTCACGAATAAATGATTTAGTGTTGTCCTCTAATGCAGCACTTGAAAAGGGCTTGCCTGCATAGACATTATATTTAATATAGACACCCATAAAAATAGTCTAAAGGCGTTAAATTGCACGATCTAAGCGGCCAATTGACCGGTCCCAAATGTGAAATAAAATGTTCACCGAACTCGCGTCAAAAATAAATCCGTTCTTGCGCTTGCTTTGTGGCATGTGGCAACGTCTTATTGAATCCACATGTCATGCAAATCAATTTCTTGCATTTTAGGTGAAAGAAAGTTTGATATCATCTCACGGTAGCGCTCACCTTTCACAGTTACAATACGTTACGATTCTCATCATCTTTGAAGAAGTGCGGCCCAATGATGCCACCAGCCCATAAACCGCACCAAACAGTGACTTTTTCTGGATGCATTGGTTGCTCTTGCAATACTTCTGGCTGATCTTCGCTCCAAAATCGACCATTCTGCTTGCTTACGCACCCATTAACTAAAGGTATGCGTGAGCTGTTTAGAACAGTTTTTCCAAAAAGATAATAGCTAAAAAATCACTCTTTATAATCAACTAGAGTTTGCCACGACTTGGTCCACATGAAATTTCAAGAGGGTTCTAAAAAGATGTATTAGCTTTATTATACCTTATAAACTATTATACATTATACTATCTCCTCCACATATTGAGCAAAGTTGAACCTTTGAATCGATCCCGGGTTCACTTCCCTAAAGAAAGAGTATTCTCAAGGGTAATTTGGACCCGAAAATTACTATTTGTACCAATTTTAACGTAACTCTAACTATAATTACAATTCTACTTCCAGAAGAAAAATTATTCCCCATATCACCTCAGGCAAAGAGTGCTAAATATCAACCAACTTAATAGAAAATTCTAATTTTTCAAATTGATCAGTTCAAGGTTCACCTCCCGGAAAATCCCATCTTATCGGGTGCATACGTCATACTCAGATATCTACGATCAATGATTTCGGCCGTGGGCTGGTCTGTCAGTCAATCAGGAGAAAGCCCTTTTATATGTAGATAACTTAAATGATCAAATAATCATGTTCCATTTTCGACCTGGAATATTGGGTAGTTTACTCAAGTGATACAGCTTTTCAGGAGCACTCCATGTCTTTTCAGATATATTTTGATTCACGCCATCTCAGGACTAAGAAATGTTTAAACAATAAATTTCCTTTAATTCGGTGATAGTCGCGATTGAATATTTTGGGCTTAAATAATTATTCGAATATTCAGAGTGCTGACGTTGTTCGTATCTTCATGACGAACTCAACCGATTTTCAATTTCACTTACGATTACCAACGGAACGGGTAATTGAGTGCCTTCCAAACTGACACACATAACTCGAAATTTTAGCCCAGCTCATTATATTTTTAGCTTATTATTACCAAACATTTTTTGTTTTAATATGAATATTTAACACCAGAGTCAACAAAACTCGAAGGAAACATTAATTTAGTAATCCGTCATGTGTCCATCAAAATTGTTTTACTAATATATGGAGGCAAAATCACTCCGTCAAAACGTAGCGGTTGGACTCAATAATAAAATGCGCACTTCAACCATATCCAATAATTTTATACTGTATTCCTGTATATTGATCAATTGACTAATAAAAATTACTATTTGCCAATCGTAGGCAAATAATCAAATTAAGTATTTTTGTCATGCCACTATTAATTGTTATGCGTAATCGCCTATTCTATGAGGTATTTACAATGGTTATGTAGCTAAAGTTGAGATTATTGATAATGGCAATTTTAATATCGAATCTGAGTACATACAATACGCTGAGCAACATATTTAACATCTTCCACTTTTATGCACAATATAGGGACACATCCATTACCCAGTTGTATTGCCTGGCCTTACTGGTAATTAACCCATTTGTTAATTAGTTCGTTTAAAATAAAATATCCATCAACACGAATAAAGGAAAAGAGAGCATTTACTAAGTTACTTTAGATCTAGATCTTCACAAAAATATTTCCAAAAAGTGGGCTGCGTCCTCCTTTTTATTCCTGAGTTTTGATTGGTAAACATTTCGTACTGACATTTTAAAAGCCTCGAATCCGAACTCTAGGGGTTCGATCATCATCAAAAATTATAAAAAAGTTAATTTTCCTAATTGCGGTCGCAGGAGTAAGTTTCTGTCTTAGAGAACTCCTAATAAAAAACCATCGATCGTTCGGAGTCAGCTCAGAATAAACTGTAGGAAGGATATTTGTTGGAATACATCAAGACGTACAACACAAATTGATGGAAGAGCTCGGCCGAACATCGATTCGGCGGTTACAAAGTGTCAATTAGATGGAATGTAATAAAAAATAATATTTTATTTTTGCAATAGAAGGATTTAGTGATCCCTATCTCTCGTTCTATGAACGCTTATCGATTGCGTTTGATGGCATTTAAAGGACGATATTGTGTAAGAAAGTAGAGAATGGGAGCAATGTTTGAGCGCATGTCAAAGATGGTCATCACTAAAGAGAAAATACGCTAGATTCTACAATTTTTTCTTGGACCGAATTTTCATCTGCGAATCATTGATACTATTCAGTCAAAATCAACCTCTTTTCTAAAACAGATGGTGACTGGTGATGAAATTTGAA